AAGCCTTTGCTGTTATGCTGTAGAACACTTGAATGATGGACAATTGAGCCTAATTAGAAATTCAGTAGCACTTTCAGTTGAAAGATGTTAGAACCAAGCTTTGTCTCGTTGTAAAATATTCAGCCCGTGGGCTTCACTCGTGAATAAGTTTTCAATGGATGTTATTACCCATGCACAGGGATAGGCAGTCAAAGCATGCATCTCGGGGCTACCAAATTCGAGAGCCCTACCAGGTCAGTTGAGGCTGGTATAAACCATTATCCACAGACGTGGCAGGAGTATTGCATTGGTATTCGTAAAACAAGCGCAAAGCCTGATGAGGTATAGAGTATCTCCATATACATATCTTTACAGCCTTAACTTTCCCTCACATTTGTAACCAGATTCACTTCACTAAAAATAAACGATCAAAATACATTGCAATTTTGATGTTGCTCAAGATAAAAAAAAAATTATTTATTGTACCATGAAGTCTCACTACAGAGGGTAGAAATGTCAAAGAGAGATCAAACTGAAATAACTGGGAATTGCATTTAACAGTAACATGTCCTTCAAGTACTGTGTGGAGATGGTTGGGACAAGACGCCGAAAAGGACTCAAAACACTTAGGACTATGACTGCAATGGACATAGAGTAGAGAATGCTTTTCATACTGTGACGAAACGACCTTAGTGTTTTCAGAAGTTAGTACGTGTAATAATTTCCTCTATTTTTAGAGAGACAGAGAATTATATTTACTATGCCCTAAGCCCGAATATTTCTAAAACAACATGGGATTTAAAATTGTTAAAATTGTTTTAGTCCTTAGCCCAGACCAAGCAACCAAGATTTGGTTAATATTACCTAACATTAACTTATATAACCAGCTGGTCTACCTGGGAAAGTTCAGACACAGTGGCTGTAGTGATTGTAGAACTGAAGTGTCATATAATTATCTCCTGACCAGAGACCCTTAGGGGCAGGCAACTGCTCTTAAAACTAATTATCTCCCCTGAGATTATCTTCCTTGAACTGCAGACCACAGAGAGTCACAAATGGTTACATAACTGGCCCGATTGGGCCCTTTCAACAGATAAAAATGGGGAATTAACTTGGTCAAGTAGGAAACACGATGGCTTCCCTGACCGTCTTTTTAGGGGTGTCAGTAAAATTGACTGACAGGCACATTGATAGCTAATTTGGTCTGCAAGGTACTTCAGGGGCGTGGCTTAGATCTTCTCCAGTAGGAAAGGTTAAATACTAGAAAGGGGAGGAGTTTAATTGGAACAAATTGATTAGGGTACATATACTGCTTGGCATCTAAGATTTACTTCATAGTGCTGCCCGCAAGCCACAAAATCAGATCAACAGTAGAAAGTAATTCTAGCTGTTTGAGTCTTATTTGGCAAATTGCTGGAATGTTCCCACGTATGAGTGTACATTATTTTATTCTTTTATTCATAGGTTAGGAGCTAGATAAAATTATATTGTGTCAATTATCAACCCAAAACATGTGCCTGGACTGTGGGAAAATCATGCCCACATGTGCAGCCATGTGACTGCGTTTTGATAGCTCACCATATGCTCACTGTCATTGGAAAGACAATATTCCGGACAACATGCACATATAAAATGGTTTGGGTTTTCAGCACATAACCTGCTCCACGTGTTTATGTAAAAAAAAAAATGTCAGCTAGTTTCGAATTCTGAGTGAAGACGGACAGCAGACTTAGGAAGTCAACTATCATGACAGAACATGAGAGGGAAGGTAGGATATGTTAGACGTCAGTGTGAGACATAAGACCTTCAGACTAGACTGGAGAGAATGTGGAAAATAAGTAGGAGAGATGTTTAATATATATATATATATATATATATATATATATATATATATATATATATATATATATATATATATATATAGTATAAGTATATGCATGCTTAGTTAAGTAACATATGTGTTTGGTTCAATTATTACAGCTCACGTCAGGGTGAAGACCAGTCGGCTCTGCTAACAGAACCAGAGGGTCAAGGGCATGATTCTATATTGTGTGGGAGATCGGTCAGCTTGGAACAGGCGGAGAAGGAGGTGGAACAAGCTGGGAAGAAGCTGGAAGAGGTGGAAAAGCTTGACAGTGCCCCACCGCTATCAGAGGTTTTATCTTGCCTTATCACTAAGTTACGTCCACACCTTATTCTTAAACTTATCATCATCATAACTTCTCTAATCCTAGGTGCTCAGTTTTCTAGCTGAAGCATCTTATCACTATCATTCCATCAGCCAGTCACTGTTTGTGTAAACACTGCAAACTGACGGAATGTCATATGCATGACTGTTAGTAAATAAAGCGTTTGTCAAGTTTTATACTACATCGGTTGTTAAATTCCAAGTGTATTTAGTTTACCTGTTTAACTCAATTATTAGACAGAAATACATTTGGTGGAGCTCTTTAATAATTCTTTAGCCGGGGGAAGTAGTCCCTCACAATTCATTACCTAAAGTAATCTAGACATCTAAAACCTCTTTCCTTCTCATGTGGGTACCAAGTGCAGCTGTTGTGTATTTACAAGACGAGCTAAATATGGCTGTTTTCTTGGATATCCAGGACTTTGTCTGAGATCAGCATAGCTCGGATAATAGTCCAGTGACTCTGGTGGAGGTGACGTGTTGAGAGGAAAATTCCTATTCATCACAAAAGCATCTATCCACTTCAGGACCCGTGACACACACTGTTTCAGCACTTGGTCCTCTCAGTGGCTGCTTATGGAGTAGGACTGCTCACCGACTCAAAGAGTCAACTGGTTCAAGTAGAATGTCCCCCTATGGGTTCTAGGGCCCTATTTTAGGGAAAACAAGAATAGATCTACTGCCTACCCAAAAGTATGTCATAAAAGTCGACTAATTGGGAGCGTCCTTTGAAGTTGGAGTGCATCTGCCTAAGAGGCAAGGAACCAGCAGTCTGCATACAAATTAGTCAGATCTGCAAAACGTATGCACAAGCAACACTCATGTACTGGAATAGGACTGCAATCAAGAAGTGGATGAACAACCAAAACTTTCCGATATAGTTCACAGCTGGTGAACACGAAGTAGAAGAAGAAACTAGAGTGCCTACAGAGTTCAGCTTTGCAGGTGATTTTTAGATATACTAGAGACGTCCCAGTAGTGTGTGTGTGTCATAAATCCTTGGTTTGCAGACCGTTGCATGTAGGCTCAAGGTGCTCAAGTGAAGTCATATCTCAGAGTAGCTGCAAATACAAATCACCCTTTGCATGAAACAATGAACACAGTTAAGTGTCTGTGGCTGATAAGAGGGAAGTCATGAATGAAAGGCAGAGGACGCGATCAGAGGTCAGGCATGCTTCGTGCAACGTGCATTGCTTTGCTCGGGGGGTCATGGGTGAAGAGCATTCTCTGGATAGTTTCTCTGGGGCATGCCGGTGTGTTGGGAAAGAAATGAGAGGATCTGGCTAAAACCTGACGCTCAGAGGAGAGGCAAAACGGACATATAATCAGACTATTACTGATACCTATTGATACAGGAACTCTGTGCAGGCTGCTGAAGTTTGGGATGCAGCACTTATGGGAACAAGCTGAGTGATGTGATATAGGTTCTTGAATTAACTCAACTCATCACAAATCCATGAAGATGAATAAATTATCAGATTAACAGAAACATACCTCCTCCTTTGGGAAACGTCTAGCTTTGTTTGGGTTATGTTTGGAATAGACATTCAATCTCTCCACTGGGTTTTCCTCATTCATACCGTAGTCAAGACGAACAACCTTAGAAAATTATATAAAATATAAACCAAAAGTCAGTAATCATTATTCTATTGTCACATTCTTCTATCAGATAAACGAATAACCTACTCAGTAATTACACACTGTATGTTGTAACCCTTTGACAATTCAAGATTGTTCTTGGCTTTTCTCATATTTTTTTTTTAAACTTTTGCATGATTCCTAACAATATATCTGTGATACAACTCTTAGAATACTTATATTATGCTGTTCAATTGATTTACCAAGCTGTATATCTTGTATACTTTTTTTTTTTTACGTATCCAGAAACCATGAGTTGTAAACCCTTTGGCTCGGTACTATGGATATCGCAACCCTTCGGCATTGATTCCATTATAGGTACCGTTAATCTGGGAGAAATGTGGCTTTTCTGCCTACCCCCGGGAGTGAACCCGGACCACAAGGAGTTCGTCACCCGGCCGCGCGAAAGTCAGGTTTAACCAACTTCGCTAGAGAGCCGGGCAAATCTTGTATACAGTACAGTACTCCACTATACAAGTTGAGGATATCCAGTGATTGATTTATTGCTAATATGCTGATAAATCCCCACTCTATTTTCTCTTTATTGTTATCAATAAGTTTCCTTGATTGTATGGATTGGAGTAAACATTTTAGGCTTTTTTTTTCTTTCAGTACTTTTCATTATATCATTATATTCTATCCTGTCAAATACTCACTTAAACACAAATATAAAACATAACTAGCTGATACAAAATATTATAATGTAAACGTAGTGAATACAACAGATGTATATAAATGCAGCTTATGTAAAGTAAATCACTGAAATGTAATTCATACTTTTCCTCATGAGTTTTATTTATCCACAGATTAGCTAGGACATGAATAAAATGTTTATTTTCATAGAAGAAAGACCTCCTTTCTATAAGTATTCACATACACACGTGTGTATTGTTGCACACGTAAACAAACCCCTTGGCAGTTGGACATTGGAAAGAGTAGCCTAATGGCACTGCCCGGGCAAAATTTGGAGTTAAAAATCTACCCAAAGTATTTCAGGATCCTCGCCAGTGCTACAGAGTTCGTGCTTTGTGCTGAGAATCTTCAGATGAGTTAGAAGTAGAACAGAGAGATTATGGGTTAATACCCTTATGCCATGATGTTTATCCATTGTTTAAACCTAAAACAATTATTGTAATACTTTATCTGTGTTGTCTACAGATTTACCCATCAGATTAGAAACATGTATTACTATTACCTCAACAACAAAATCATCTTCAGTCAGCTTGTTATCAGATAATTTTATGATCTCTTGTGAAATAGTTGCCACATTTCTCTGTAGGAGTAAAAATAATAATAATAATAATAATAATAATAATGCTATCAATAATATGACAGTTTGTTGCTACTTCTCCAGATTAAGAAGTTTTGTTTTTTAGGTACCCCAAATGCAATATTGATAAATACATAATTTTATATTGCTGTTTTGCAGCTACTCTCCACACAAGTTTTATGTTTAGCAATTAAATATGTATCTTATATATTTTATATGCCTAACTCGAATGTTAAGATTCTAATGTATCAAGTATGATAATTAACAAACCACACATTTTTACTTTGTATGAATAATAGCTTTGTCAATTTTATGATGTAAGACAAAAGTGTGAAACTATTTTATCCATTTTACTTCAGCTGGAGGGAGCTGATCAGACAGTCAACAGCAAGTCAGATGTTGAACTTATCAAGTGAGTTGACTTAGTGGTGGAGACAACAGTCAGGTGTTGAACTTATCAAGTGAGTTGACTTAGTGGTGGAGACACCAGTCAGCTATATTGAATTTATCAAGTGAGTTGACAGAGAGGTAAAGACAACATTAAGATGTTCAACTTATCAAGTGAGTTGACTGAGTGGTGGAGACACCAATCAGATATTGAATTTATCAAGTGAGTTGACAGAGTGGTAGAGACAACATTAAGATGCTGAACTTATCAAGTGAGTTGACAGAGTGGTGGAGACAACAATCAGTTATTAAATTTATCAAGTGAGTTGACGGAGTGGTAGGGACAACAATCAGGTATTAAATTTATCAAGTGAGTTGACGGAGTGGTAGAGACACCAATCAGATATTAAATTTATCAAGTGAGTTGACGGAGTGGTAGAGATTTATCAAGTGAGTTGACAGAGTGTTAGAGACAACAATCAGGTATTCAATTTATAAAAGAAGTTGACGGAGTGGTAGAGACAACAATCAGGTATTGAATTTATCAAGTGAGTTGACAGAGTAGTGGAGACAACAATCAGGTATTAAATTTATCAAGTGAGTTGACGGAGTGGTAGAGACAACAATTATATATTGAACTTATTAAGTGAGTTGACAGAGTAGTGGAGACACCAATCAGGTATTGAATTTATCAAGTGAGTTGACAGAGTAGTGAAGACAACAATCAGGTATTGAATTTATCAAGTGAGTTGACAGAGTAGTGAATACAACAATCAGGTATTGAATTTATCAAGTGAGTTGACAGAGTAGTGGAGACAACAATCAGGTGTTGAACTTATCAAGTGAGTTGACAGAGAGGTGGAGACAACAATCAGATGTTGAACTTATTAAGTGATTTGACAGTGTGGTGGAGACAACAATTAGATGTTGAACTTATCAAGTGAGTTGACAGAGAGGTGGAGACAACAATCACATGTTGAACTAATCAAGTGAGTTGACAGAGTAGTGAAGACAACAATCAGGTATTGAACTTATCAGGTAAGTTGACAGAGTGGTGTAGACAACAATCAGATATTGAACTTATCAAGTGATTTGACAGTGTGGTGGAGACAACAATTAGATGTTGAACTTATCAAGTGAGTTGACAGTGTGGTGGAGACAACAATTAGATGTTGAACTTATCCAGTGAGTTGACAGTGTGGAGGAGACAACAATTAGATGTTGAACTTATCAAGTGAGTTGACAGTGTGGTGGAGACAACAATCAGATTTTGAACTTATCAAGTGAGTTGACAGTGTGGCGGAGACAACAATTAGATGTTGAACTTATCAAGTGAGTTGACAGAGAGGTGGAGACAACAATCAGATTTTGAACTTATCAAGTGAGTTGACAGTGTGGCGGAGACAACAATTAGATGTTGAACTTATCAAGTGAGTTGACAGAGTGGTGGAGACAGCAATTAGATGTTGAACTTAACAAGTGAGTTGGCAGAGTGGTGGAGACAACAATTAGATGTTGAACTAATCAAGTGAGTTGACAGAGAGGTGGAGACAACAATCAGATGTTGAAACTATCAAGTGAGTTGACAGAGAGGTGTAGACAACAATCAGATATTGAACTTATCAAGTGATTTGACAGTGTGGTGGAGACAACAATTAGATGTTGAACTTATCAAGTGAGTTGACAGAATGGTGGAGTGATGGAGACAACAATTAGATGTTTAACTTATCAAGAACACATAGAACATGTGTTTATGGAGTAAGATGATCTTCTGCACATCCTGGTATGACACATGATGATTGTTTGCACAGCCTGGTGTGACACATGATGATTGTGTGCACATCTTGGTATGAAACATGATGATTGTGTGTACAGCCTGGTATGACACATGATGATTGTGTGCACATCCTGGTATGACATGTGATGATTGTGTACACATCCTGGTATGACACATGATGATTGTGTACACATCCTGGTATGACACATGATGATTGTTTGCACAGCCTGGTATGACACATGATGATTGTTTGCACATCCTGGTATGACATGTGATGATTGTGTACACATCCTGGTATGACACATGATGATTGTGTACACATCCTGGTATGACACGTGATGATTGTGTGTACAGCCTGGTATGACACATGATGATTGTTTGCACAGCCTGGTATGACACATGATGATTGTGTACACATCCTGGTATGACATGTGATGATTGTGTACACATCCTGGTATGACATGTGATGATTGTGTACACATCCTGGTATGACACATGATGATTATGTTCACATCCTGGTATGACACATGATGATCATGTGCACATCCTGGTATGACACATGATGATCATGTGTACAGTAACCATCTTTTGCTGGTTTTGGTGGTTTTCTGGTTCATTTTATTATTCTCTTCTTCTGTTGATAAGAGACTGTTACATAAGGTTGTTCTTCATTTCACCTTCCTTAGCTAGTTTATCAGCTCCTTTATTTCCGACCTCCACAGAGGATTGTATCCATTGCATAGTTACCTTACACCGGTTGCCCAGTTCAGAGAGTAGTTACCGAATGTGTGGTAACTTCCAGATTCGAGTGCCTCTTGCATCATCTGTCAGGGATACTACGGGTTGTGAAAACTGACATATATTTAGCAGTTTTTCGGCTGCTATTTCGGCTTGAACTTCTGCATCACAGTTGCGACAACGCTTTCCTGTTGGTATTTTGGCTGTGTGTGTTTTTTTTTTTTTTTTTTTTTTTTTTTGGGGGGGGGGGGGGGCATTATTTGGATGCTTAATGTACACTCCTGCTCCTCCATTTCTGCTTGCATTTTGTGCTGACCCATCCCTGTAGACACGAACCAAAGATCGTGTGGGTATTCATCATAAAGTAGACTGAGGGTGGCTGTTTTACGCTGCACGCTGTTTTGTTCTTCCTTTTTCAAATACCCTTTTCACCTCTGTCTGGACGTGTATTGGCAACATATAGTCCTCTCTCCAGATGTCCGATCTGAGATAGCATTTAAGGGGCTATCACCTGCAGGTAGATTAGTGGTTTAACTGCAGAGTCGTTGGGCCTGGTGAATGAAACTGCTTCTTTTTAGTCACCTTATTGCTAAATTTTGGAATCTTTTTTTTTTTCATAGGATGTCCAGGCATTCTTTAAAAACTTTTCTGCTTGTTCTTATATTTCGGTGTCTCTGTGTTCTGTCGGTGTTTTGGTCATCGTCATTTTCTCTATCACAGCTATATGTGTTGATTTCATCCCACCTGTTATGACTCTGAGTGCTTGATTTTGCACCTTGTCTAACTTTTATAGGGTGGTTTTTGATGCTGAATTCCATGCAGTTAGACCCGTGTTCAAGGTGTGGTCACACACTTTGTTGATACACTTTCCTAAGTATTTTCCCATTAGCACCCATGTTGTTCCAATAAGTTTTCTCAGGAAAGCTATTATCCTTCTGGCTTTAGTTGCTGCCTTGTTGATGTGTTTTCTCCACGTTAACCTTTTATCAAATGTGACCCTGAGGTATGTGGTCTCCTTATCCTATTTTAGTGGTGTTCCATTTAGCTGAATGATGCCTGAATTTTGTCTGGGGGAGAGGGTAAAGAGAATGTTGCTACATTTGTCTACGTTGATGCTGAGACATCATTTATCAGCCCAGCACATGCAGCCGATGCATCTATGGATCTTTGGATCAGTCGAGTGGCTACTGTTGCATATTTATTTGTACACCATAGTATCAAGTTGACAGCATACATTGCAGCATTAATAACATGGGGTGGTTTAGCAATTAAGTTGTTAATATAGACCAGAAACAGTGTTGGGGACAGGACACCACCTTAGAGGATACCATGGCACAGCAAGACTTTCTTGCTCTTGAGTCCCTTTATCTATGCTCGGGCTCTTCTGTTATCCAAGAATGATTTCACCCATCTGTACATTTTCCCATTCACTTTTTAGTTTCTCAGTTTTTTAATGAGACCTTCTTTCCAGACCTTGTCAAAGGCTTTCTTCCAATCTATCCAGCACAAAAGCACTAGTTTCTTTTTCTGTGAAGGCATTCTCAATTTCTCAAGAGAGGTAAGTTATCTGATCTTCTGTGTAGTAGCACTGTCTAAAGCTTACCTGCTGTGGCGTGAAGATGTTTTCACTTTCCATGAACCATTGAAGTCTAAAGTTGACAAGGCATTCCGTTGTTTTGTAGGGACAGCTGGTAAGACCGACTGATCTGTAACTGGAGGTATTGGTACTGTTCTTTCCTGGTTTTAGGAGAGGTATCATGGTTGCTTGTCTCCTTAAGGGGAACTTTGCCACTGGCCCAACAATTTTAAAAAAAAATGTGTAACAGCTTTGTTTTGGCTCTTTTCCCTAGGTTCTTGATTATTTCATTGGCTACTCCATCGATTCCATGTGACTTTCCCATTTTCAGCTCCAATATTGTTAACTCTTTAGTTGTTAGATGTAACTGGTGCCTTCAGTACCTCGGGAATTATATCGTTTTGTCTTGAGTGTTGTCATTTCTCTCGAGCCTCTAGCTACTTCTCTGTGCTGACATCAATGTTGCTGTCTTAGGCAAATATGTCTGCAAAGTAGTAAGCTGCCTGTTTTCTTGTTAAGATGTCTCCTCCTGCATGTATGGTAGTATTTGCCTTTCTCACTGTGTGCTTTCATCATTAATTTTGTTTTACTAGCCTCCACAGCTTTCTTGTGTCTCTTACAAAGTTTAAAGACTTTTTTTTCATGCCAGCTTGCCCGTCTAGCTTGCATTTTGGCTCTCAGAAATTTGGCCTTTGCACTTTGCATGTTGGTATTTGTTGAATAGCTCTTGACAAGGTGTGGTTTCAGCTTTCTTTCTTTCGGTTTCCATTTCATTTTGTATTGGCTCCAGCGCGGTTTATATTGCTCACGTTGACCTCTTGGTATTGTTTCCAGGGCTGCCTGCAATATGCATTTGTTGAACTCTTCTACTACCTTTTCTGCATCGTTTTCTGTGTTCATATTTTTAACCAAAACACTTGTACGGTGCCAATACAATTTCCAGTCTACCTTCTTGTAATTCCATCTTGGCAGAGCTGCTCTTTAATAGTGCCGCTCTTTCATACGGACTGGTTTTTATATCATTAGAAAGACTGAACGGTGGAGACAACCTCAAAGTTGTTTCCTAGCAGTTCTAGTAATATCCCATTCCATTGGTAAATGAAAGGCTAGGTCTGGCATAGAGGTGGTAGACCATGCTCTTGAGTAGAAGGGTGGTGGGTCGGTTGACCTATTGATGAGGATGAATCATTTTCATGTTGCCAGTACTCCAGTTTCTCTCCTGTCTGATCCATCTAATCATAACCCAGTCTTTGTGAGTGACTGTTGAAATCTGACTTCTGTATCTAACACCTGAGGAAGATTGCTTGGACAGTAATAGCTGATTAGGTGGAAATCTGACATTTTCTGTCTTCAGCTTACAAATCTGGTGCCCTGCCCGTTCCATGTATGTTTCAGTTTGGCAGGCAAATATGTTATTTTTCACTACAGTTAGTATCCCACCCTTTCTTCTGTCTTTCCCATCAGATCATAACACTGGTAGCCTCTGATATTATAGGCAATGTTTTGTTTGAGATAAGTCTCTTGAAGGCAGCATGCGTGTATTTAATCTTTGTTCAATGTGTTTTCTAGTTCTAATTTTTTGCTTTTTACTTCCTCTATGTTCCAGTGCATTATTTTGAGACTAGATGCATTTTCGGTTGTTATGGTTCTCCACGAGGCATTTGTGTGTGACTTCCACCATTCAATTGTGGGTGGCATCATAATTTTTGTGGTGTGCCTCCTGGCTGGTTGCCTCCGACTTCAGAACCTTATTTTAATTATTTTGGTGAACATCACACGCATCTTTGGCATATCAACATTTGTTCTTAACACTAATCTCGGCCCACGTAGTATTGTTGTTTCGTTGACCATTATTTTGCGTCTGGTGCAGTCCTGCAACCTTAGCCACAAACTTACATCAACATGAAGGCAGTCAGAAAAACACAGTCCTGATATAGTCCCATAACAGTTCGACAATCTTCATGATGTCATAATTTCATCCCCCCAAAAAAAAATTATATTGATGGTAGACAGCAAAGTGTAAAATTGTTGTGAGTAAATCGAGACATGAAAATTCCAGCCACCATTTTGTTGTGACCGGTGTGCACTCCAGCCCACAACATTATAGATTATATACAATTGATGGTGAATTTGTGAAGACACAAAGCAATTATTGTGTTTAATTCATATCACTTGTGAACATTTATTTTACTAGATGATATGTATATTTGTTACTTTATCTACAGAACATTTTACTGCAAAGCAAACCATTCAGTCCACAAGTGCTTGGACTTCCTTCTTAGTATATCCCTCAGCACAAAGTGACATAACTATTATGTATTTGCTTACATTTTAATTAGACTGACAGCACCATAATGATTCTATGACTTGTTATATGTGACTTGTCTGTATCAACATCACAGAACATCGGTTCAACCCACTCAAGCTTACCCTCTGATGCAGCAACCATCTCAGCATCTCCACACCCAGCAGCAGTTGTCTGACAGATCTTACTTCTTTAACCCTCGATCAACCTGTTTCTGCATGCTTGTCCTCATTTAATACCCATTTTCAACAGGCAGTTGATTGTCTCTGACCCCTTTGTCCCCTTGTCTCTAGAACACAGCACATTTAATGTCTGCCCACTTCATGCTTCTTCTTCTAGTAACCACTGCAGGCACAGCCAGTGTGTGGGCTCTTTCATGTCCTTTTACCCCAGCATGTCACTGTGTGTACAGCCAAGAACATTTCAAGATGACCACGCCATGGCACTAAAGATCACTTTTACAATTTTCATGATTTAATCTGGGTTTTTTTTTTTTTAATGAAAACAACGATTAATGATCAGAAGCATAATTAACTACAAACTGAATATGCCGACTTTAAATTAGAAAATATAAGCAAAAATAATTTTTTCCTGTTTAATTGACCCACACACAAAAACATGTGGAGATGAAATTAGCGATTGAGGTGAAAAAATATGGGGAGGACATGGAGGGAGCATTAAAAGAGAAAATGATAGGACGACTTGGCTGATATGTCTGAGGGCATATGTTCCTTCATCTTCTTCTTCTTCACTAACTCTTTTACTGTTTCGGGTGTTAAGGGAGATATAAGGTTTTTTTTTTTTTTTACTGAGGGATAAAGGGAGAAGAAGAAAACTTGTAATCAGTCTCCAGAAAAACTGACTGGCTTTTTCATTTTAATATGTTTATAGATCTCTGACCTTTTCAATCAAACGAAAACAAAACTGAGCTAGGATGTGGCTTAGTTTTATTTTCAGCAGCTGGGTCAAAATTCTCCTATCAACATGTTTCATTCGTATAACACTTCAGATATAAACCAAAGAAATGTAATAAAGTGAAGGTTGGATGACAACAAAGACACATACTTCTGTCATTCTCCTAGGATCTATTGGCTTGCTGTGATATACACACTTGTACAGATCTCGAGTCAACAGACGCGTAATTAGGCCCTTGGCTGCTTTCATGTCATCTGCTTCACTCTCGGTGTCAAGAATCTTGAAAAGAATGTTGTCTGTAAGTTGTGTATAAGCCTCCATATCATTGATACATTCAGAGATTTTACGCTGCTTGCTGTACGGGATACAACAAAGTAATAACTTGTCAACATGGTTTCCAACTACTACTGCATACGTATTCATAAATGTTTGGTTTAACTGCTGTGGCACTTGATATGACCAAAATATTTCAGCTTTCGAGAAAGGATACTGTTTATTAGTTAATCTTCCTTGATGTTCAGATCTTTTAGAATATCAATATTTCCCATCTTCTTGGTCCAAGATCTTCTGAGAATCTTTCTATAGCATTTCAGCTCAAAAGCCCCTATTCTCTTTCTTAAGGACTGAGAGATAGTCCACGACTCACATCCGTAGGTAGCCACAGGGAAGATGCATGCTCTCAAAATTCTAATTTGTATCTCCTTGCTGGTGCTTAACCATAGACTTTTAAGGCTGTTCAATCTTTGCATTGCTATAACCATCCTCCTTTTAATTTCTGTCGAACAGTCTCCATTGTTGTTTATTATAGAACCTAGATATTCAAAGTTTGTGACATTTTCAATTTCTTCATCATTTATTGTTATTTTTGGGTGACAACAAGTTTTATCTGTGGACATTATTTTCGTTTTCTTTAAATTCAAGAACAGATTTTGATCTTCACTGTGCTTTTGGACAGACAATGTTAAATTTTCTATTCTCTTTACGCTGTTCGAAAGGAGGACAGTGTCATCTGCGTAGCGGAGTTCCGGAATATGGTTGCTACCAATTTTGAGTGGATCATAACTTAACCAAGTCTGGTCATTTTTGACATTTCTCATTATATTTTCTGCGTATATATTGAATAGGTATGGTGAGAGAATGCACCCCTGCCTCACCCATTGATGTCATAATCACCTCGAACCTCAAACCAATCAGATGTTTCACCAGCTGCTCTGATGGCTGCTTGTTGTTCATGATAAAGATTTTCAATCAAATGCACTAAATACGCTGGAAACCCCATACTTTTCATAATAGTCCACAGCTTGTGGTGTTGGACACAATCAAATGCCTTGCTATAATATCACAACCATCACACTAAGAAATAAACTAAAAAATGTTTAGGATACAAATACATGTGATAAAACATACCCATCACTTCCAGTGATGAAGACATGATCATTTGCTTTGATCAGAGCATGTGCCACCCTAGAAAACATGAGAGTGGGTAGTTAGTGGTGGCTTCATTTGCATGTTATTATAAAAATATTTATTTACCATTGTATTTGTCACTGTTTAAAAGGGATAAGCTTTCAAGAGTTATCTGCCTTAGCTGTCACCACATGCATTGCAGACTGGTTTGCTCTGTAAACATCAGCTTTATTGCGGATAACAAAGATATTACAATTTCTTATATGTCTGTGAACTCATCAGTTGTTCTTACTACACTGTTACATAGCTGGTTTAATGCTCTAAAAGTGCTTAACAATGGCTCCACACGTTATTTTCTTATTTCTGTAGTTGTATAGTTTTCTTAAGAATGTTTATGTGCATGTTGCAGAAGGCCTTATACTATTTACGTTGCAGAAGGCGTTTTGCTAGCTGACACACCTGAAACCAAACATTTAATCTTTGCTTCATAAAAATGTGACACCAGTTTTGATGCATAAACAGTTTTTAAACTATAATTTAATTATTACTGAATTATAATCTACTTATTTTTATAACATTACTTTTAAAGCAGTCCTAATAAATCACTGATTTTTTTTTTTTTTTTTAAGTATACAAAAACATATGTAATTTTTAAAATCTCTTAAACTGATGCACAAATATCTGTGACATAATTGTTTCAAACAAGCAACTACATCAAGATGATTTCATGACACCTCCAGTTATGAAACATTGTCTTTTTTCCTTGGTATTAAAGAAACGTGTAAGTGAAAATAGGACTGGCCTTAGTACTGCTTTCCTATATAGTAACTGATCAAAATACATAAAACTAATAAGATGCACACCAGTGTTGTTGTTTTTCATGGTATTCTTAACACCAAATATCCAAAATATACTAGCTGTTTCTACTAATAATTATAACATTTCCATGGTTGAACTGTGCAACTGCAAGTATTCAGCATGCAATTTAGTATGAAATAAATCATACTGGGTATATCCTTCTAGCCACATATATTTAGATTAATTGACACTTGATGGATCACACTGTATGGGTGTGTTTGTGTATGAACACATGTGTATGTGCACGTGTGTGTACCTGAGCACACAGTTTGACATTTAAATAATGAAAAGATTTTATAACAGTCAAAACAAAAAGTGCCATCCATGAAGCAAAGCACGTCATCTAAACTGCCCAGTTAGCAGATGAAAAGTAATCTGCCATTTCAATTAGCTGGTAAAAGTTCCCTCGTTACATATGCAGCTAAGGGTGAACATTCATTCTGATCTGAAATCAGAAAACTGTTCTTAAGATTGCTGAAGTGGACAAGATGGCTCAGACATCCACTTTTGGTTTATAACAAAAATTCATCCCCAAAGTCTGAGAATGGATATGCAAAAACTAAGGATTATGGCAGATTGATTTTATAAACTTTAACTATAGTTTTACAAAATACTGAATATTAAAACAGCAAAATATTAAAGTTAACTTATATATCTTACATCAAGGCCATTGAACTAGACACTTGATGTTGATAAGCAATTTTGTGAAGTGTATAGCGTGTTGAGAACATGTTGTACAGGTTCAAGACTTCCTGAAACAAATTAAATCAAATTCAATTGTTGGTTTCCTGTTTTACATAGTTTTGTGTGTGTGGGCACACATACATGCTGTGTGTCTATGTGTGTGCGCACACATTGTGTGTGTGTGAGTGTGGAGAGAGAGCCAGAAACATCTCCAGTTAAAGACAAGAGAAGTTAGGCACAGATAGTCAAGAATTGTAGATGTTATCAGAAGAAATTAATTGAAAAATTCTGTGAAGACTGACCAACTTAATGCAAGAAGGCAAGAGGATGACAGAGGTAGTACGAGGAAAATATGACCACATGACATAAGTGGGATAAACATAATCCTGAACTTTTTACAAATGTCAGTGGAATGCTTCTTCTTCTTCTTCTTATTTTTCTTGTTCTTCTGCGTTCCACATCAGTCATGCTAAACACTGAGTCCCGTCTGGGTCACAAAGAGGATTGTGCATTTAAGGTCGCCACCAGTCCCCCATAGCTTCTCTTGCAATGTGGCTCCCTTGGGCCAGATCCACAGTCTTTGCTATGAGAGGTAAGGGCAGTACTGCAGTATGTGTTCAGGGGTTTGTCTTTCTGCTCCACAATCACAGGCAGTAGATTCTTTTATGCCTATCCTGTACAGGTGTGCTCGAAGACCACAGTGTCCAGTCCGAAGTGTAAAAATTTATGTTTGTTCTTTCCTGTTGAGTTTGTTTATGCTATCACTCTCTGGTTTGTAATCTCCATTCTGCTTTCTCCACTCCCGCTTTAAAGACTGCTTTAGTGCTGTTTTGGTTTCCTTGTCACTGTGTGGTGGATGAGGTTGTTGAAGATTACTCCCAGCTTTTGCCAACTCATCTGCTCTCTCATTTCCTTGAATACCACAGTGGGCTGGTCTCCACTGCAAGAACAGATCTGCTTTTTTTGGAGAGTAAGCCAATGTTGGTCCTTAGATCTGCAATTAGTTTGTCTTTTTTTTTTTGCTTGATAGTGCTTGGAGAACAGACAATGAGTAGTCGATGCTGAAGATTATAAGAGTTTGTCTAGGTCTAGGCTTTTCTGCATGGCACATGATGACGATTCAATAGAATTACTGACACGGGGAGTAAAGTAGCAGAGAATTAAGTTTTCTTGGTAAATAAACTTTGCTAGAGGACCTTGCCAGACCCAAGACAAGATAAGCTGAAATAAAGACAGAAAATTATCTCATCAGAAAGAAAAACAAAAAAAAAGGGAAGTAAAGCTCACTTTATTCCTGTTTAGATATCTAAATCACCATTGTCCTGCTGTGCGGTTTATTCGTTCGTCATAAAAGGTTCACAGTTTATTTCTCCATTTTCTTCTTCTTTTTCTGCGTTCATCCGAAGATGTAATTGCATTGTGTCCGTTTACAGCATAGCTGCGATATCTGCACCTTTCGGCCAACACATCCGACTTCTGCGGGCATTTGTTGACCGGGTTAGCCTTCCCGGTATTTCTCCATTTTATTCTGTTCTGTTCTGGGTGGAATCTGGTTCAACACATACGGCGTCTCTCATTACTATTTCTCTTTAATTATCTAGGATTTCTCTTTAATGTCCTCGTTTCTTTAATTATTTTTTCACACTTCAGTGCCCGTTTAGTGATTACCTGTCTGCTTCTTGTCAGGGTGTGCTCAATTTATCACCATTTATTTATTTACTTTTTAATTTGAGGTGGGGGGAGGATACCAGCAGTTATCCAAACATCTCTCTTGTTTCTTCATCTTTCTTCAACTCATTACATTTCATGTATCAGCTACTGTATGTAAATGTTGGTACTGAGATTAAAAGGGCAAGCAAAGAAGGCTGTTCAGAGTGTTTGAATTAAAAAAAAAGAAAACAGTTTGCCTAACTAGCTGTACAAGCTTTTATGAGACTGATTCAAAAGAAGAAGAGGCAACTCAGTCAAATTATGAACTGATAGATTTGTTGAGGTTTTAATACTACTTAGTATGAAGCACACACCAAGAGGATTCCCATCAAATTCCTCTTCTGAACTTTTTTAGTTAATACCAAGCATATTTTGCTTAAACACTTTATATCCCAAGGTGTGTGAACTTTAGAGCTACAAACTTTCAGCTTTGATAAACTAAAATAATAGAGCTATTGCATATAATGAGGCAAAGTACCAGCTGCATCAGAAGTGACTATCGTAGCAGAAGAATGGGACAGGAGATATCAAGAAATATGTGGTTAATACAATGAAGGTAGGGTGAATGGCTTGCTACTAAAAGAGTTAACCTAAGGCTGACTGGCAAAACAAGTAAGGAAGAGAAGAAGAGAGTCGAAAGAAGGAAAACAGAGAACTGCATATAAGCCCATAAGAGTGTGAGTAATGTTTTAACTCACCTTGTCTCTCAAACAAATTTGAAGCTGGTCGTCTAGTGCACTGACTCTGGCAAACTGGATGAAGCGCAAATGGTCAAAGTTGTTGCGAATTCCCAGCTGATGACAGTCTCTTGCCATGTAGTCCCATTTGTCAACATCGATACTGTTGCGTTTATTAGCAACAATCTAACACAGTTAAGGCAATATGTAAAAAAAAAGATAAATAAACCAAAACAAAAAAAAGCTCACAACTACACAACAGATGTTTATCACCACAGTTTAAGACACATTTATCTCCAATACACAACACATGACTGTCACCACTACACATCTCTAATACACAACGTATACTTGTGACTACTCTAAATCTCTAACAACCACTGTAACCACTCCACGTCTCCAATACATAACATATGTTTATCACCACTCCACATCTCTAATAAATAAAATATGCTTGTCACCACACCACATCTCTAATAAATAACACATGTTTATCACTACTCCACATTTCCAATATGCAACACATATTTATCACCACTCCACATCGCTAATACACAACAAATGTTTTTCACCACTACACATCTCTAAAACACAACACATGTTTATCACCACTACACATCTCTAATACATAACACATGCTTGTCACCACTCCACAGCTCGAATACACATCACATGTTTATTACCACCCTGTGTCTCCAATACACAACACATATTTGTCACCACTTCACATCTTTAACTTTTTGAGTCCCAAAGAATGCATCATATGTTCGTAGGTTCCTACCCAGAAGCCCAGTTAACACATGATGCGCCAATTTTATGTCTCTCTTTACTACCCCTTGGGTCTGTGGTGTTAAACCCACTGGGACTCAAAGAGTTAATACACAACACACGTTTATCACCACTCTGTTTCTCCAATACACAACACATATTTATCACCACTGCAGATCTCTAATACACAACACATGTTTATCAACACTTCACATCTCTAATACATAACACAAGTGTACTACCACTCCACATCTTAAATACATAACACAAGTGTACTACCACTTCACATCTCTAATACATAACACAAGTGTACTACCACTTCACATCTCCAATACATGACACAAGTGTACTACAACTTCACATCTCTAATACATAACACTGCTTTGTCACCACTCCACATCTCTAATACATAACACTGCTTTGTCACAACTCCACATCTCTAATCCATAACACTGCTTTGTCACCACTTCACATCTCTAATACATAACACAAGTGTACTACCACTTCTAATACATAACACAAGTGTACTACCACTCCACATATCTAATACATAACACAAGTGTACTACCACTTCACATCTCTAAAACATTACACAAGTGTACTACCATTCCACATCTCTAAAACATTACACAAGTGTACTACCACTCCACATCTCTAAAACATAACACAAGTGTACTACCACTCTACATCTCTAATACATAACACAAGTGTACTACCACTCCACATCTCTAATAAATGACACAAGTGTACTACCACTCCATATCTCTAATACATAACACATGTGTACTACCACTCCACATCTCTAATACATAAAACAAGTGTACTACCACTCCACATCTCTAAAACATAACTCAAGAGTACTACCACTCCACATCTCTAATACATAACACAAAAGTACTACCACTCTTTATCTCTCTAACATAACACAAGTGTACTACCACTCCACATCTCTAATACATAACACAAGTGTACTACCACTCCATATCTCTAATACATAACACAAGTGTACTACCACTCCACATCTCTAATACATAAAACAAGTGTACTACCACTCCACATCTCTTATACATAACACATGTGTACTATCACTCCACATCTCTAATACATAACACAAGTGTACTACCACTCCACATCTCTAATACATAACACATGTGTACTACCACTCCACATCTCTAATACATAACACAAGTGTACTACCACTCCACATCTCTAATACATAACACAAGTGTACTACCACTCCACATCTCTAAAACATAACACAAGTGTACTACCACTCCACATCTCTAATACATAACACAAGTGTACTACCACTCCATATCTCTAATACATAAAACAAGTGTACTACCACTCCACATCTCTTATTCATAACACAAGTGTACTATCACTCCACATCTCTAATACATTACACAAGTGTACTACCACTCCACATCTCTTATACATAACACAAGTGTACTATCACTCCACATCTCTAATACATAACACAAGTGTACTACCACTCCACATCTCTAATACATAACACAAGTGTACTACCACTCCACATCTCTAATACATAACACAAGTGTACTACCACTCCACATCTCTAATACATAACACAAGTGTACTACCACTCCACATCTCTAATACATAACACAAGTGTACTACCACTCCACATCTCTAATACATAACACAAGTGTACTACCACTCCACATCTCTAATACATGACACAAGTGTACTACCACTCCACATCTCTAATACATGACACAAGTGTACTACCACTCCACATCTCTAATACATGACACAAGTGTACTACCACTCCACATCTCAAATACATAACACAAGTGTACTACCACTCCACATCTCTAATACATAACACACAAAAAACTACCACTACATAACATTGAAGGAAACACCTCAAATTAGTCACCTCTAATGTCATCCTTCTTTCTTCTAAATGGGGCTTCAGAACCCACACGGAGAATTACAATCTGATTATATTTTTATCTCTTTGTCTTCTGAGAGCTGAGTGTTAGCCAGACCCTCTGAATTGTGTATTATTTTTTTTTTTAAAGAGGACAAGTTTTTTTTTTTTTTTTTGTACCTTTAACCTGAACAAAACACTAATGCAATAGAATAGCAGTTTTAAATGTCATCAACAAAAAATAATTCATGTCTAAAATTCATTTTAACACATCGTAATATAAAATAAATTTTCTAAAATTATTGAAACCTACCTCATACAGATATGCTTTTTCTTTTGGCCTGCCACGATGAAGCCATTTCTGTTGTAAAAAGCACACAGTTTAAAAGAAAGAAATTGTTTGTGCGTGCCTGCATTCCCCCACCCCTTTTTTGTGCATGAATGCACGAGTGCGCATATGCAAATGTTACAAATGTATATGTAAATAATTATATGTATATTATATGTATATATGTATTACTGTATATATTATAATAATTATAATTTATTATATACGTTAAAAAGTAATAAATCAGGTAACAATTTGAACAACATTAACTATTACATTTAAATTGCCCTGTTTTCTCAAAATGGTTCAAACTAAGAATGAAAAAGTTTTTTTTTTTTTTTTGCTACAAAAATAATAGCTCCAAGAACACTGGTACTTGACAAAGGAGACATTCTGAAGACTATTTATGAATGAATGCGGACAGAAGACAAGGTTACATGAAAAAACATCCGTCAGAATATGTGAACATGGAATTAGAAGTGGATCTGGCAAGGAGGGACATAAGAGAGGATGAAAATATAGAGTGCTTAATGATGTGCAACAGAAATAGTTAGAATCTCTTAACTGAAAACATGTTGTGCCAGAGACGGAGCATCTATGGGTATGCCAGGTGTGCTATTATATTGGTTTTTCAGTCAAAGAGAAGTGCTTTGAAATACAGCATAGATGAAGGTACTTTGCCTTCATTTTCAGACGTACTCAGAATCTGCATTATCTTGAAACGGTTACCACCAAGGTGAGCTACTAAACATTTCCATGATGGTTTTTTTGATATTATTTGTTAGGGTTAGTCAACCTAGGAGACAAAGTCATCTCATTAAAAATCCACCATGATGTGCATTCGAACCCAGTACCTTCATGCCAGCAGGCCAACATTCAGCCACTGTGCTGCTGCAGCTTCAATTAAAGACTTCCTTTGGCTTGAAAAAACATTAGTAGTGATATTTTTTTAAGGCTTTGAAGTCAGCCTTGGTTCAAACACAACATCACTGTGTGCCACATTGATTGGCACAGATGTCCCACCATAAACGTGTGTCCCCTTTCTTCTTGATACGTTCAAATACATATAATTATTCATGCCGCCCTGTAAAACTATGACAACCTTTTCCTGAACCCCTCGTCTCATAACATGACCGAAACATTAAAAACGAAAAATGGTAAAGGTAATTATATACAGACTTAGTCACAGCATATTCAAGTGGGATGACCACTTTCCGTTCCCTCCTCCTCCACTTTCCCAAAATTATCCAAAATCTCTGGTACCATTTTGTGAAGTTGGATTGACACCAGAGTTGTACTGTGTTTGACAAAACTGAAGATTGAACCAAAGACCAATGTATGGGTGAACATGTACACTATATTATATACTAGAGTGGCTTTTCAATTACTATTAACCATATTCTAAAAAGCAGATTGCAGAACTTACCCCATCCTTACCCATGTTTGGTGTGATCAGTTCTTTGATGAATACCATGTCAGTCTCATTCAGCCCATGACTCTTGAACACTTCTTGCAAGTTATTCTTTTCAACCAGATAATCAAACATATCCTTGGAAGCTTGTTCATGCTGTGGTTCCAAGAGAACATAAACTTTTACAGAAATAAACAAACCAATTTTTTCATTATCAAAAAGATACTACTAATTAATGGAGCACAAAAATGGAGAATGACTGAAACATGGAGCACAAACATGGTCTATTATCATCATACAATTCCCCTATATACTCTGTCCTTCCGTTAATTATATTGCTATGTTAAATTTATAGGTCGGATTGTTTTTTTTAAATATCCAGTGCTGTTACGTATCATCTTTCCTGTTAACATATTTATCTGTTGGGACATGGAATATGAGTCTGTCCCATGATTTTCTTCAACCTTTGTACACATTTGATGCAACCAGGCTTCTTTTAGCCACTTTGCGTTTGTTAGCTATTTCTTCATGTATTCTAGAGTATTCTTCATCATTCTTTTTCTTCCTTCTCTCATCCATCACATGCAGAATTTAGGTTGGCATCCATTTCTTTTTTGCAACTAGATGGGTTGGTGGGATTGTCTCTTTGATGTCTATTGAATTGACTCACGCAACATATCCCACTGTTTATTAACAGTCTATATAATTTCCACTGCATTATGCCGGTTTTGTACGGTGACACTGTACTGTTTTTAAATTTCTTTATCCGTTCTAAGTATTCCTAAATTACCTTGATGTTTTGTGGTAATTTCTAAATATTCTATAGGTTTTTTTTTTTTTTTTTAATCTTTCCTATAACTGGAACCTGGTAATCCTAGTTTCAGCTTAAAAGCAAACGGGTCACCCCATAGTTGCTCCGCTCCTGTGCCAACGAAAAACACACGTAACTCACACTGGAACATAATCACTAAAGTAGTCTGCTCTTGGTCTAGTTTTTGCTCCAACTAAACTGCTCCAGGATCTTCTTGAAATAAAAATATAATCATACTGATTGCTGACATTATCGCCAGAACTTTTCCAAGTCTACAATCTTTAAGGATGGTGTTTCAACCAGGTGTTACCTATTACCATGCTGTGTGACTCAGCCCATGCTATTAATCAGTCACCTCTCACATTCATTTTTCCTAGGCCATAGCCACCCATTATTCCGAACACTTTTTCACTTCTTTTTTTTTTTTTTCGTGTTGAAATCTCCATAGTTACTTCACAATTTTTGCATTGATCAACAGCCATGTCTAACTCGTCATAAAATGCGTCAATATCTTCCTCTGAACTATCTGCTGTTGGGGCATAAATCTGAACTAAGTTGATGTCAAACGGTCTGCCGTGAAGTTTTTCTAATATTACTCTAGCTGATATTGTGCAAAATCCTTTCACTTTTTGAGTTCTTTGGATCCAAAATAATACCATCTTCCTTACTATATTCCTTCCCACCTGAGTAAATAATTATTTCCTGATCTGAATACTTTTTCCCTGCTCCTGGCCATCGCTTTTCACTAACTCCTAACATATTGATGTGCATTCTCTTCATTTCCATCTTGATGCTATCCAACTTTCCATTTTTTTCGAGTGTTCTAACAGTCCATGTACCAATGTTCAGGATGTTTCTACCATTTACATTTTCTACAGTAGCTGGATGACAGTCAAGTGTCACCCATAGAACATGATGATCCCTACCGGACGAGGTGATTCCACTGGAATCCCTATTCACGTCATTTTCAGGATTCGTTATGTTTCGGGGCGTGATTTTCTAGGGATAATAAAACGGTGGTTTCTCCTGGTCTTCCACTGGTTTGTATATAGTTTTACTCCAATAGCCTTTGTCTAAAGAGACTTACCTTGCAAGGTGGCAGGGGGGAAAGGTTATTGCGCCTCTTACCTGTCTATGGCCATGTCATAGAGTTTTGAGGCATTTTATAGTTAGATATCCGATCAACTAACTTGTCTCTTTTCAATAACCATCACCTGTTTTTTGTTCACGGCCACTTATTTAATACATTCGTGGCTAACCTCTATTCATTCACCCATTCGCACACTTTTTTTTCTGTGTAAGCATAAATCATTAACACGGATCTGTTCGTGTAGTAAGACTGTACATTATCAGTAAATAAAATACAAACCTGCTTCATCATACAAGGAAAATGTGATTTATCACATTATATATTCTATTCTATCAGTTTATCACTCTTCTTCATGAAGCCAGTGATACTTCAGATTAGTTACTGTGGCCCACATTTGTCTCACAGACACTGTAAGGAGAGAGGTTTTCATCTAGAGCCAAAAGTGTGACATAAACTTCACTGTGTAGATAACCATTCACAAAATGTATCAGCACAATTGATGTTGTTGTATATAACCAGATCTTCAGCTGTCACCACAAACTGATTTCATTTCACTCTCATATGATTTCTTTTTTGAGGACGCGAGTTACAATGTACAATTCTCTCAAGCCTGTGGCTCAGAAGATCTATTTCGGCAAAACAAAATGTCAGGTTTGCTTTTTATAACCTGATATAGTTCCTAGACTACATGCAAGGCAACAGTTTTCCTCTTTACCTGGTTCCTCTGCCTTACCCAGTTTGACATCTGAATCTTAATGGTAGCTAAGCTACAACTGGCACAACTTTTGGGGCCATGTATGTTGGTGGAATATACATGTCCAACTTCACTACAAGAACATCGGAGGGGACATACAATATTTCTGAGTCCACTGATGATTACTTTGTAAATGTTCAATGCAGGCTGTTTTCAAGCTGAATATTATATATTATGAAATATTTTGTTATCATCCAGTCGTGTCGTTATAGGTTACACAGAGTACAGAGTCAGTACCTCCATTATATTCAAAGATGAACTAATTTGTTTCAGTATATGTGTTGAATCTAGTCCATCACCTCTAATCTCTCTCATCATCATTATTATCATCATCATCATCATCATCATCATCATAGAATTTCTCTTGGATGTCCTAAATTCCTCAATCCATTTGTTTAATTTTGTGATTCTTTGTATGCAAATGCCTATTTTGTGATTCTTTGTATGTAAACGGCATGCATTTAATCCTTATCTTGGTTAAAGATATGCAAATATCTAATTAAATGGGGGGCTGAGTGATATCGAGGCATAGCATCCGCCTCATGTGTTGAAGGTCCCGGGTTCAGGTCCTGGTGAAGGTTGGGATTATTTCACGTGGACTTACAGTAATTTTCCCCTTGTCTCTGTGGACGCCCGTGTGTATTGGTGTGCATGTAAAAAAAATCCCTTGGCAGTTGGAAATCTAAAAGAATAGCCTAACGGAGCTAGGCAAATTTTAGAGTTAAAAATCTACTCAAAGTATTTTAGGATCCTCGCCGGTGCTACAGAGTTCGTTCACTGCCCTGAGACTCTTTGGACTCATGCTTGAGTGCCATGATGTTGATCCTTGTTCAAACCAAACCAGTCAAATATTTAATTACAGAAGAAAGAGAGATATGTGTTTAATCCCAACATCAGTCAGTCAAACAGCATATCCTTTACAGAACGTTTCTCTCTTCCGGCATGAAATTCAATCTTTCTCTAGCCAATTGTTAACTCCTATGTGCTTTCAGAACCAGTGTATCTTTGATGTCCTGTATCCAACTTCACCTCTGTCTCGTGAGAGGGCAACCTCTGCCTCATTTTCCGCAAATTGTAACTTCCATCACTGTTTTCTCCAGACCACCATAGTGCTTGACATGTAGTCAAAATAACTCAGCTTTTGGAAGATTTTGCTGTTTACCAGCCAGTTTCTTTTTTATTATTATTATTTGTTTTTTGTTTTTGTTCAGGTTATGTCGGATGTCAGAAGTTTTTCTTCTTCTTAGTCCACAGTATTCTAAAAAAAAATGTATGCAGCATTTCTATTCAAAAGCTCAAATATTTTTTTTCAAAGACTGAGATCCAGACTCACAGTAAGTTGCCACAGAAAATGTGTACGAACTCAAAATACTTTCACTTGCTTGCAAATAAAATGCCATAGTCTCATTTTGCTGTTTAGCCTCTGCATTGCTAAAACATATTTTTATCTCTGACTTCTCTTGTGCTGTTGCCATTTTTAATTCATTACTGAGCCTAAATATTCAAAATCTATGACATTTTCAATCTCTTCACTGTCAATTTTAATATGCTGTTGGTGTGTTGTATTTGTTGTGGACAGTATTTTAGTTTTTCCTTCGTATTCACAAACAATCTTCTTCACTGTGTTTTATTTTATTTTTTTACAGTGAAAATAAATTTTTCTTAGCCTTGTACACTGTTGGAAAGAAAAACAGTGTCATCTGCATTTCTGAATTGTGGGATAGGTCTGCCTCTAATTTTGAGTGCATCAAAGCTGTCACAGGCTTCTTCACTGATCTTCTCATAATATTTTGCCATAATTACTGAAAAGGGATGGAGATGGAATGCAGCTCTGGCTTACTCAAACCAAGCTGATGTTTTACCAGCTACTCTGACTGCTGCTTGTTGTTCATGATAAAGAGATTCCATTAGGTCTACTAAAATCTCCACAGATGACCCACCCCTTCCTCTTTCCCCCAGGAAGTAGAAAAAAACCAGAAAGAAAAGTAGAAGAGGGCAGTAAAAATCTATGTCAAAATTTCTTTGACACTGCTCTTTATATATATTCAATGTGTGTCATTTTGGTATGACATATAAAATTATCTTATACAAGTAATATGCTGTCTTGAAATAGGCATTAATCTATCACAATCAAGTCAGCACAAACAGGTGCACAAAACAAATTCTGCTTGTTGGCGAAAATACTGCAACATTCATTAACATTTAGGAAATATATATGCAGACAACAGAGTGACAAACTCACAGTCCATTGACTTTCTGGCATCACTGCAGGGATGAACATCTGATCAAATGTATGCGAGTATGGACCATGACCTTGGGGAAGTGATATTACAAAATTAACGTGCTAGTTACAAGTTGTACTTAGCAGGAACAACATTTTTAAAACATTATACATAGGATACATATTATCATAAACAAATACTGCACTGGTAATGAAAATGTAATTGATTTTTGTTAAAATGTGCATACATCTCATCTGTTTTACTTATCTCTATTATTGTAAGTAAAAAAAAAAAGTAAAGGACCCTTTTCCACGCCTTAAGGCGAATAGGGCATATAGGGCTATATTTTTATAGACCAATCGGCACAAGATGGGTGATGTGGTCAGTATCACGCCGGCCGCCTTCACTTTCCCGGGACTGCACCCGGTACCCAATCAAGGCTGGGTCAACCTAGGAGCCAAGGTCATTTTTGAAGAAAGTCCGGCTCCGCCAGGGAGCGAACCCACGACCTTCCGATCCGCGGTGAGCGTCTAGCCGCTCGGCCACGGCGACTCCTCTATTATTGTAGGTGATACATAATCCATATCTTGCAGTCTATTGTTTCCTCACTGTTAATCATTAATGTTTAACTTAGATCTACCTGATCATCAAATACTGTAGACTTTTCCCTATGGCCTAGTATGAAGTAACAAAGCACCATCTTTAAATCAAGTACAGACTATGATCACAGAAGATGGTAAAATTGACAGAGAAATTGAAACCAGACGCTAGAAAGCAGATGCACTTATATACCAATTGTCACCATTATTAAGACATCCAAGTAGAATTATGAGTGCAAAGAGACAGATTATTAATAGCATATTCATTCCAACATTAAGCTACCAGTGCCAAACATGGACATTATCTAAAGCCCATTTACGCAAAATCACCACTTGCGAGATGAGGTGCCTGAGAAAAGCAGCCAACCTAACCATCTGTGATCGAGTGAATAATGAAACTATCAGGCAAATTGTGGGAACGACACCTTGTACTAGATTCATCGAGAAACAGCAGATTAAGTAGTTTGGCCATCTTGTTAGAATGCCACAAGATCAAATATCATCACAAGCACTACATCTCAGATGGATCAACAACATTAAAGACACTACGCCTTCATGGCATGACAAAAGACAGTGGCAGCCAACGTGCACTGGATCACAAATTATTCCTTCCCACGACGCTTAACGGCAGAAGTGGTTTATGATGATGACGATGATGAAAGACTAATATTCTTCAACCTTCAATATTAAGCTATGTGCATTTCCAAGTCAATTGTTGCATCAATTCTTTTTCAACTTAACAGTTGTTTTATTTTATTTCTAAATGCCATTTAGAATGCATTAGTTGCATTGGACACTGTTGATTTTTTTTATCTTAACCCATGTATATCCCATTTTTTTTTTTTTTCTTGGTATCCATATTTTTTTTTTTTTTTTTTATATTTTCCATGCCACATTTTGGAGTGAGTACGGGACGGGGATTGTGGAGAAAGATGGAGAGAGACTGTTTTCAAATATAACTGTTAGGAAAAACACAAATGCCCAATATCTTAAATAAATAATAAGTTCTGCACATCTGAAATATGACTAAAAGAGCTAAACAGAACATCTGTGGCATTGCTGTTGCTGTTGCTTCTTCTGCTGTTGCTGTTGCTGCGGAGGTTCTAGTGAAGCTGGAAATGAACAACCACTTGTGAAATACTTAAATGTATACAAATCAAATACAAGTCCACAATTTTTGCCACATTAAAGAGATTATGTTACCTTAAAAAAAAAACATACTGGAGGGAAATGTCAAAAATGGGTGAGCCAATTGTAGACAACGAAACAAGTGAAAAGATAACATCAAGAGATGGATGAACAGCAGTCTGTCAGTGTGTGACATCACAGCAATAGACATAAAGTGTTGGAGATTCAGGGCAGCTAACTTGAGCTGTGCAGACAGCACTCTACAGACATTTAAAATTGAATAAGAAGTCAAAAACATTCTAATTTTATTTCTGTTACTTGTCATTTCTTTTTATAATCTGAATTTTGAATATATCTACATACCAAGGTCATGGCAAAGTCCAGCAATTTCAACACAGAGAATATCTTGATCAGTGATTCCTAAATATTTCTGGCTACCTCTCAGGGATCGTACAAACTGACCAGCCAAATGGCAAACTCTGAAAGAAAACAAAACACATACAAGTAAATGGCAACTGCAATAAATAAAATGTTACATTTTGCAGATTCAACTTCACTGCATGCTGGGCAATCTGATGCATGCTCAGAAGCCACCCCAAGATACCTCTACTGATTGTTCCAACAGGAAGCTGATTATAATGTCTTCTACGTTGTCTTCGAGATGGCATTGACAGGCTTCACCAGGCTTTACTCCCAGGTTACATAATCTGGTTAGTGTCTGAGATTCGTTATTATTCAACACCAATCGAGTTTATACAGTGCTGATGATATCAGCTCTGTCCATACTCCTGCCAACAAGTAATGGTGCATCACTTGCCATGTAGTCCAGTCATTCATTACCCCTTACTCCAGCATGACCCAATGTGTAGATCAAGGTGAGAAAGGTCAAGTTTTACCTCCTAATGTTTTCTACCTATTCAGAGCGGAGGCTGTCTGTTGCTATTTTCTGAAGCATGTTCACGGAGTCTGATATGATAACCTTGAGTGTAGTTACTTGTTCAGCTATCCATGCGAGCGCTCAGGAGGCTACTGTTATATTCAGGGTCACGCTTGTATCTGTCCTTCTTTACCATGTCAGACTTTTTAAAAATCACACACCTGTTGGATTAAGTTTTCAGCCCTGGCCACCCAGCAGTGACCTTTTTTTTTTGTTACTCACTCTCTGTGTGTCACCAAAGGTGTTGTGAAGCGGGTCATTAACGTCTGATTACACCCTCATGTAGCTTCGACTTGTGCATTAAATACGTGTCTGGGTGGATGTGCGTGTGTGTGCATGTGTGTATGTGTTTGTTTCTGTGACTGTTTTTCAAAAATAATAGTTTAATTGTTTACCTAATCTTTACCGATCCCATATTTATGTTGCGTGTTGATTCATGTGAACTGTAACCTTGGGGCAGGACAACATGGTGGGAATGGGGTTGTCGTGAGTCCACGAGAATGTGTTCAGTTACCTGTGTCAATGTGTTGCCCAACAGTGTTGACTCGAGGCAGGATATATTTGTGGGTTGAGTCAATATTTTGACAAGTGGGAAGGGACTTGACACGGGATGGACCCGAGAGGCCCGAAGTAGTAGCCTCGTATTTTTTCTGGAAAGCATCTTCAATTTCCTGTGCGAGATAAGAGGTTTGGTCATCAGTGTTTCTGTTCTTCCTGAAGCCTGATCGGCTATCATCCAATATCTTGTGTTTTTTTATTTCATGAAATTAAGCAACCTGTTGTTCACTAATCTTTTCATGGTCTTTCCAAAGCAGCTTAGGAGGCTTATGGTTTGGTAACAAAATTGGTTTTCCTTGGGCTTTCCTTTCCTGGATTTGGGAACCAATTCTGCCCCCTTCCTTTCCTGTAGAAGTAGTCCCTGGGTCCAGGATTGATTGATAAGGTCTAAAAGTTGTTGCCCCACAGTTGGTCTCAAGTGTAATATCATTTGATTAGAGAAGAATAAGAGGTTGCAGAACATGTAAACCTGCTTGATGAAACACTGACCAAGTATGCTACGGAAATAAATGTGGAAAAGACCAAAGTAATGACTAATAATCCAGTTGGCATAACTATAGCAATGTACGTCAAAGGTCACAAATTAGAACAAGTCAATTATTTCCAATAGTTAGGATCCATTTTAAGTGATCTAGGATCCAGACCAGAAAGCATGTATAGACTTGCCCAGACAACATCAGTCCTTGCCAAACAGCAAATATTTTGGAGATCCAAAAACATTTTATTTAAAACTAAGCTTCAACTGCTAACAGCATTACTTGCAATCTTTCAGAAGAATTCTTGGCATTACATACAAAGACCACATCACAAATATCAGCAAAAAGGTCGAAAATGCAATGATACAGACATGTATGAGATCTAACTGCCTCTCCAAAAGCCAAAAAAAAACTATAGGGGTCAGTAGAGGGAAAGAGGAGAAGAGGTAGACCAAGAAAGACTTGGATACAGAACTTGACTGACGGGACAGGCCTTAGGCATGCAACCATAAAGTCCATCACAACTGACAGTCAAAGGTGGAGGAATCTGATCAGACAGTCAACAGCAACTGGTGATTCAATGACGTGCAGTGTTACAAGATGTTGGGTTGAGTTGAGTCACAGCACTCGGGGCATTCCCATGCGTGCTCTATTCTCATCTTCAGCAGCCAGCGTAAAGTTGCAGTATAGTTGGTATGTTACAAGATGATGATAATGAAATTAAATACTATGTCATTTATCTTCTATATTATGTATATAAATACTTTGTCACTTATCACAGTTATGAAATATATCAAATACTTTGTCATTCATCATCTATAGGTATTATATCAAATACGTTACCACTCATTTGAAATATAATAAAATACCTGTCACTCACCATCTACCTAAGCCATATCAAATACTCCAGCAAATGTCCTCTGTAACACTTAGATTTAAATTAATAAATGACTAACACTGGCAGAGTAATGGACACCACCAGCAGATGGTTTTATGGAGAAAAATGATGAGGTTTACTATCAGACATGGTACCTGGCAACATTGAAGATGGGGAATACTGAAGATGAACAGCTGGTACAGGGACACAAAAACATGTTTTGAAAAAAAAATGAGATGTTAGTGTAAGCTGTATCCTCACCCTAGGGAATGTTCAAATCTGTTATGAGCGGCACCAGGATAAACAAAATACACCAGCCCAAGTTGTTTCAGGTAACGCAGACGCTGAAACTGTGGTGTATCGATGATTGCCAGACACACAGGGTTCAGAAGGATATTCCCATGTATTGGGTCATTGAAAATCTGCCAAAAATTGATGCAACTGTAATAATTCAGTAAATAATAGTAAACTATGAGGTAATTTGGTGGTTAGTGACAAATTTCAAATGACAAATTCAGCAAACAGGTAGGGAGTTTATTTGTTTCTCTGTCGTTACTCGGGATTATGGCGGACGTTAAAGAACAGCAGTGACTGAAAACAGGATAGCACCTAAGGAGATGATGGACTGATGACAATAAAAACATTTATAATCCACACAGAATGATAAAAGCCAACACCACCCACCCAAGCAGTGGACCGCAAACTGTTCCTTACCAGGACATTCAGTGACGTGACAGGTAGTGATGACAGTGCTCAACAAACAATGAACTATTGACTAAATTTGGGAGTGGTTGTTTTTCCTTGTTTTTATTTTTGATACAATCATGTCTACTCACCCAAACATTGACTGACTGTCTTTTAATGATCACTGCAACAGAAACTGAAACCCCAGTATAGTATGACAATACAACTTTAAAAAGACACCTGGCCTCAAAAACAAAGTGTGCAGAGCAAGCTATTGGAAACCATGAAGGACCTGCTGCAGACATGCAAGTTCATAGAGGCAACCCACCTGAGGGTCTGTTCTGAGTATACGAAACTGAATGCAAAGAAGAATAAAGAAGAAGTATGACAATCGGTACTTTGGGAAATAGAAGCAGATGGAGATGAGAATAAAAGATGTAGCTTAGCATCATGGTAAGAAACATTTGTATAAAATATGCTTGGGGGTTAATAATACAGACCACAGACAGACATGATGGTCAATGTCATATGGCACTGATTATCAGCACAAGCTTGTGTATGTCTTGGGTCATATTTAGGATGTATGGCACCCCTCATGCAGATATTTATCTTCCATTCCTTTTCTCACGTCTAAATCTATGCATCACTATGTGTTTACAGACAACAAAAAGTTGTGAAATTATTTACCTAAGTTTTAAACTGTACTGAAGTGTTTAAACTTAACTGAGAATACAATAGATATGTAAGCTGGGGTCCTATAGGAGCAGTGATGCACAATACTAGATGAGACTTTCAAAGTAATAAAATCAATAAAAATATTTTTTTCTTAAACTTCTCAGCCCTGTGTATGTCAGTGATGCAGTCTGCACATATGCTAGACCCACATTTTGTTGAACTAATCGGTAATTATTGGGTCATGTGGTCAATATAATACTGACTGCCTTAACTTCCCATGTCACTGCCTGGTACACATTTTAGGCTGGATCGACTTAAGAGCTCTGTATTAATTATAACAATTCATCCCAAATCAGATCTGAATCCAAAACCTTCGAACTGGTGGGAAAACGTAAAGCTACCGTGCTACCATGGCTCATATAAATGACAATGTATGTATGTGTGTGTGTGTGCATATATATATATATATATATATATATAGATGTGTGTGTGTGTGTTTCTTGAAGTATAGCACAGGCAGCCATAGCAATAGGTTAAGTTACAACTGACATCAAGACATTCCCCTGAACATGGTGTCCATCTTAAGCAGCAAGCACAGCTCCAGTACTAACAGTATGGTCAGACAATATTAGCAAGTGCCTTTAGCAGACTAAATTTTACTTTTCTTTATTTTCAACACACACATTCATAAACATTTATGTTTTTAAAGGTTTGATTTTGTTCTGTGTACAAATATAAGCTCTCTCTGTGATAACTAAATTTTAATGTTTACCTTCGGATTTCCGAGAAAGACTTTGTTGTTGTTTGCAGGCTGACGCTGTAAGGTTTCACGAAATTCCTCAACATCAAGCCAGTCACCAAATTTACTTTTTTTTTTTTTAAACAAAAAAGAAACATTTAAGACAGAAATAGTGCATGTCTTTTTAAAAACTGACATAAACAATCCTGGAATAATTTATAAAGATTGTATCATCATAATTCAGACCATCGCCCAGTAGTTATGAACATATGCAACTCAAGTAGAAACAGTCTACATAAACAGAAACGTGAAGAAATCATCAACACTAAGAAATTAGAGGAAGAGAATATCAAACATGAATTTGAACTAGAAATAACAAAGGCTTTTGCAGATATTGCCAAGGAACCAGTAAGAATTGAAGAAGAATGGGATTATTATAAATCAACCATCACGAAGATATTAAAAGACAAGTGTGGTACCAGAAAGACGGGCAAAGGCAAGAAAAAGGGTACCGCTTTGTGGAATGAAGAAGTCAAAGAAGCAGTGTCAAATAAAAAGAAGATGTTTCAAATATGGTTAAAAACAAAAGACGAAAAGGATTACATTAGGTACAGACTAACTCGAAGAGACACCAAGAGAACAATAAAGAAATCCAAAGAGGACTCATGGAAAAAGTATGGTGAACACCTAACACAGCTATGTACAGAATCATCAAGAGACTTTTATAAGAGTGTGAAAGCGATGCGATTAAGAGAAGAAAGCTTCAATCCAACATCAGTCATAAATGATAAAAATGGAAAACCATTATTCAGCCAAAAAGAAATTAAAAAAAGATGGGAGGAATATTTTAAAGAACTTTTGAACCCGTCGGGAGTACATGAAACAGCAGAATTCCATTCAAGGGCTCCAGATCATCTAGAACCACATATCCTGCGGGATGAGGTAGAGAAAGTTATCAAAACAAGTAAAAGACACAAAGCAGCTGGTATCGACGGAATAACAACAGAAGTCATCCAGACTGGAGGGGACACTATGATCACCTGGCTGGAGAGAATTTTCAATAGAGCATGGGCAGAGAGAAAGGTACCAGTGGATTGGCAAAGATCAGTTGTAGTACCTATCTGGAAGAAAAAAGGAAACAAGAGAGAATGTGGAACTTATAGAGGAATATCTTTACTAAGTCATGTGGGGAAAATGTATGCAAAGATCTTAGAAGGTAGGATAAGAGCAAAGGTTGAACCTCTACTGAGTAAAGCACAATTCGGTTTCAGGAAAGGGCGAGGTTGCACTGATGCCATATTTGCACTAAGACAAGTCTGTGAAAAGACACTCGAATACGATAAAGAGCTGAACGTGGTCTTTGTAGATCAAGAGAAGGCATTCGACCGTGTGGACAGAGATGTGCTGTGGAGAATTCTTGACGATTACGGAGTGCAGGGTCAATTATTAGACAACATCAGAGCCCTCTATGAAAAAAGTGAAAGTGCAGTAAGAACATCTAGTGGTCTTTCTGAATGGTTCAAAGTCACAACTGGTGTCAGACAAGGATGTGTACTGTCACCATTACTTTTCATAACATACATGGATAAGATCACTGTAGAAGCAAACCCAGACGTGTATGCTATAAACGAATTACTTTTTGCTGATGATCAAAGCATACTGTATCAAAATGAATATGATCTACAGGAACATCTGACTACTCTCAACAACAGCTGTTTACAACATAATATGAGAATCAGTACAGAAAAAAACAGAAGTTATGAAGATCAGCAGAACACACAGGCCACTGAATATAAATGTTGGAAGTGCCAAAATCAAGCAAACCAAAGAGTTCAAATACTTGGGCAGTATATTTACAGAGGATGGAAGAATGGACAGAGAGATAGAAACAAGAATACAGAAAGCAAATGCTGTCACATACCAACTATCACCTCTGCTTAAACATCCAGATATAACCATGAAGACCAAAAGACAATTGATAAACACCATCTTCATTCCAACACTCTGCTACCAGTGCCAGACATGGACAATCAACAAGACCCATGAAAGAAAAATAGAAGCCTGTGAAATGAAATGTCTAAGAAAAGCAGCGAATAAGACCAGACTAGACAGGATAAAGAACATAGACATTAGAAACACTGTCAAAACTACACCATGTTTAGACTACATAGAACATCAAAGAATGAAATGGTTTGGACATCTAACCAGGATGAAAAATGACCAAATAACATCACAAATTTTCAACCAAAGAAGCTCAGGATATAAGGCAAGAGGAAGACCAAGGAAACTGTGGATTGACGGGGTCTCCGAAACCTGCCAAAAGCATGGCCTCAGAACATCAGATGCTGCCCGCCTTGCTTATGACAGGAACTTGCATCTCCCCACAACGCTTAGCGGCATACGTGGAAGGAAAAAGTAAAAGTAAAGTAAGTATCATCATATTAATGACAAAATTCTTCTGTGGTTGTTTACAACGGACTATTCAGGTAACAGCAGACTGTGCTTGTTACACCATTGTTAGGATTATTCTAGGCTTGTTCCAGTAATGAACTTCCTAATTCAAAGCTGTTCAGTTTATTCTCACTGTCAACAAGTTACCTGCAGACTGTTCCGTGTTATTCAGTTTGTCCAAGTTACTCTGTTTAGGTTACTCAGAAAGTTATTTTGACTGTTTAAGCTATTCACTCTGTCCAAGGTATTCAATGTAGCCAAGATACTATGTCTGTCCAAATTACTTAGTATGTCCAAGTTTTTCATTCTGTCCAAGCTACTCATTCTGTCCAAGTTATTCAGAATGTTCAAGTTATTCAGAATGTTCAAGTCATTCAGAATGTTCAAGTCATTCAGACTCCTCATTTTATTCAGTCTGTTCAGGTTTTTTAGATTGTCCAGGATATTCTGGCAGTGTTATATTGCACTCTCTAGGTCATTATGACAGTGTTATACTTCACTCTCTAGGTCATTATGACAGTGTTATACTGCACTCTCTAGGTCATTATGACAGTGCTATACTGCACTCTCTAGGTCATTATGACAGTGCTATACTGCATTCTAGGTCATTCTCACAGTGTTATTCTGCACTCTGCAAGTAATACTGACAGTGTTATACAGCACTCTCTAGGTCATTCTGACAGTGTTATACTGCACTCTCTAGGTCATTCTCACAGTGTTATTCTGCACTCTGCAAGTAATACTGACAGTGTTATACAGCACTCTCTAGGTCATTCTGACAGTGTTATACTGCACTCTCTAGGTCATTCTGACAGTGTTATACTGCACTTACCAGGTCATTCTGACAGTGTTATACTGCACTTACCAGGTCATTCTGACAGTGTTATACTGCACTTACCAGGTCATTCTGACAGTGTTATGCTGCACTCTGCAGGTAATTCTGACAGTGTTATACTGTACTTTCTAGGTCATTCTGAAAGTGTTATATTGCACTCTCTAGGTCACTCTAACAGTGTTATACTGCACTCACCAGGTCATTCTTACAGTGTTATACTGCACTTTCTAGGTCATTCTGACAGTTTTATACTGCATTCTCTAGGTCACTCTAACAGTGTTATACTGCACTCGCCAGGTCATTCTGACAGTGTTATACTGTACTTTCTAGGTCACTCTTACAGTGTTATACTGCACTGTCCAGGTTATTCTTACAATGTTATACTGCATTCTCTAGGTCATTCTGACAGTATTATACTGCACTCGCCAGGTCATTCTGACAGTATTATACTGCACTCGCCTGGTCATTCTGACAGTGTTATACTGCACTCTCTAGGTCATTCTGACAGTATTATACTGCACTCTCTGGGTCATTCTGACAGTGTTATACTGCACTCTCTAGGTCACTCTGATAGTTTTATACTGCACTCTCTGGATCATTCTGACAGTGTTTTACTGCAGATTGCCAGGTCATTCTGACATTGGTATACTGCAGATTGTCCAGGTCATTCTCAGAGTGGTATACTGCAGATTGTCCAGGTCATTCTCAGAGTGGTATACTGCAGATTGCTTTGTCTGTGTCTGACTGTACTAGTTCATACTGCCATCATGACTCCCCCATACATTCTGCCTTGCATCGACTTGTGGATGTGTGTTTGATTTGAGGCTCTCTATCTTTCAGAAATAACTAAATTGTTCTGTCAACAATTATAAACAAATTCACACTCACCTTAGCCCCATTTGTTTATAATTGTCTTCTGTCATAGTCCTCAGTTTGTTGCCATCTATCCCATTTTCTGTATGAATGGAACCAAAAGTACACAATTATGCATATCTCAACATCAAAGACAGCATAGAAACTGCAGGTTTACTAAAATTATGACGTCTATGCAACATCCTCTTGCCTGATGGCCTAGTGGTCGTGTTTTCATGTCACCTAGACTTGCATCCCATTGGCTTCGGTGTCTATGTCAACCCAGCCTAGAATGACCATTAAAATATTTGATTAAAAATGAGGACAACTAATTTTATATTAACATCAAAACAAGAGACTGTTGCACAAAGCACGAACCCTGTAGCTTAAGCGACGACCCATGGGGTCTCCGTAAAAACTACACTAATTAACTGAATGACATGTCTGTGAGACCAACCCACGACCTTCAGGGAGCGAGACGACACGGGGCTAGACCACTTGCCATGCAGGCTCCCGATTTGAACAATAATGGAACGCTTCACTAATGTGGATGCCATCCTTGCGCAGAGGCGATGCTAACCTTTAGTTTCGCTCCAATTGTAGTCAATATACTGCGTCAAAAGACAGCCGTGGTGGTGTAGCTTCTAGCTGCTAGCTTGCGGATCCGAAATGTGTGGGTTCAGGTCCTGATAGAGCTGGAAATGTTTCAGAAATGTCCTTGGCTACCAGGTCGACCCACTCTTTAATGGGTACCAGGTGAAGTCCTATGAAATAAAGGCGGCCTGTGTGATACTGACCACATTACCCACACAGTGTCGCTTGGGCCACAAAATAGGTTTCGCCTCATATGCCTAGTACGTCTGAAGGCGTGGAAAATGGTCCTTGACTATCTACTAACTGCGTCAACATGTGCATACAGTGGTTGCACTTTGCAAAAAGCTGACAACCATAACCAAAACCTTGCGGTCCTGGGACAAAACACAACGGATCCAGAGGAGACAACCTCGATAATTAAAACACCTAAGCCTAAATTGAATCTATGTGCTGAGAGGCTCAATGGTTGTTGGATAGTCAGTCGTGAACGTGGACGTCTGGTCAGCGGGAGGGGCGGCGTCAGGCGTGTGGACTCCATAGGGACATCCATTGCCTTTTCCCTAGCAGGCAGGCTTTACTAGAGTGACCGACTACTTCCTACGTCATAATAAATTGTTTCATATGGATTTTTCATTTCATAAGAATTGTCGCCGGAACTGCGGAGCACGTGCTCTGCGCCTGACGTCATTTTTATCTAGCATCAAAGAGATAGTGAAGAGGAGAAAAAAAGAAAATGGTGAGAACAGAAAGCAGAGAAATAGAAGGGCAGGAACCAAAAGATTAAAGCGAAAAACAGAACGGCTAGGGTTCAGCCATGTAAGAGTCTGCTGTTGGAACTGTTGCAGTGCCAGATAAAGAGGGTCCATACCAGACAGGTTGATATACGATTTTGATGTAATCATGCTTCAAGGACTAAATGCAGACAATTATCATTGCCCTAGATATGTCAGCTATGTAAACCCTGCTAGACATGGGCAATGTCTGCTGGTGAAGAAGGGATTGAAACAAGTAGTGCTTGACCTGATTCGGTGGAATCAATATGCTGTGGAGATGCAGGGAATACAGATGGGGATTGGTGGCCTAAGCTGAAACATAATAAATATATTTGCTGCTGTGTGTTCATTAGTTACAAAGCAACAGTGGGACTTGCTGAAAGACCTAGAGGAGGTCCCTGGCAACAGTGGGAATGGATGAAAGACCTGGAGGAGATTCATGCCAACAGTGGGACTGGCTGAAACGTTACGTTGTGTTGTTTTGTGCACGTTTTCCTCTTTCCCATTTTGTTGAGCTTTTTAGTCCAATTTCTCTGGAATTCAAATTTGTTTCTGCATAAATGGTGGGAGGCCAACCAGAATGGCTGTGAGGCCCAGTGATGCAGACACGGCTATTGAACTGGCTTTTGTTACCCAGTCACTAGGACTGGATACCAAATGAACTGTTCTGGGCGATGACAGAAGCGACCATCTGCCATGTTTGGTATTGATCTCCAAATCCAGTAAAGTCAAGGTTTCAAAAACTCGTAGGTCTTTCAAGTATGAGTGGACAAACAGCCTTTTTGGACGCCTCTGACAGAAGGCATGGAAAAGGAATATCAGAGGTAGAACAGGCATAGAAGGTAAAGAGAAATGAACTAGCTGCCGTAAAACGATTTAAGAAAGTGCGACAAACATTCCTAAGCACTCAGGAAGAATTCGAATGCGCGGAAAGAGATAAGAAAGATAGGATAGAGGTTTTCAAGCGTTGTGCAGCAGAAGCCAAAAAAAAAAAAAAAAAAAGCACAATGGAAACATTTTATTAATGTGATTGGGAGCTAAAAGACATTGGGAAAGTTCACAGACATACCACAATGATGGATATAACAGAGATACATTTGGAGAAGATTTGGCAGCCATCTTAAAGAACAAACATACTGAAGACATCATCCCATATGAAAGACATGAGTTAAGCAGACCTGGTGGCGATGACTGCTTGTTTCAACAAGAGCATTAGGACAGCTTCAGTCCCAGAAGAGTGGTTGCACAGCTACCTGATTCCACGTCCTACGCCTAGCAAGAATCATTCAACGCTCAGCGGCTTTAGGATTATAACCCTACAAAACACAGTTGGTAAAGTGTTGGAGAAGATAGTGGCCTGTTAGGTTCAAGAATTTTGGAACAGAGAAAGCTCCTTACAGGAGGTTTAGGAAGTTACCAGCCAAGGAAAAACACATGGTCAAATGCAGCCTCTTTTGCCTTGGGCACCTTTGAAGGTTTCCAGCCAGATCAGACAGGAAACAGTGGCAGCGACACTTGATTTAGAAGATGCTTTCGACAGAGTCAGATACAGTATCTTGATGAAACGCTTGTGGGGACGAGAGTCTGTCCTTGGTTGGTGAAATGGATAGCAGCCGTTTTGTATACTCGCCTGGGTAGCTTTCCGCCTGAGTTCATGGACCTCATATTATAGCTTCAGGACTACCACATGGATCTGCAATTTCCCCTGTGCTTTTCAATGTTTTTACGAGCAAGACTGTATACCTGGAAACACTTGGAGTTGGCAGAATATTGACATTTGCAGATGATGTTCTCGTATAAAGGAAGGTTTTAGATCTGATGGGCTATTCTTGAGGATTATGGGATTCAAAGACTCTTTCTGGATAACATCGTGGCCATGTAGAGCGATTTCCAAAGCGCAGGGAGAACACAAGAAGGCATGTCTGATATGTTTACAATTAATGCAGTAATGAGCAGGGACGTGTGTTCTCTCTTCTTTAGTTTACTATATACATGGATATAATATCAAAAGAAGCCAGTTTTAAAGCAGTCAACTCAGAAAATCCAGAAAGAGGAACATTACTTTCCAGGAAAAGGCCTTTTCTACAATGAGGGGAGTAGACTGCAAGACCATTGAAACGGGCTAAAGTTCAACATGAAGAAGATATAACATGCAAATAAACACTACTACAACTGAAGTCATGCAGGTCAGCAGAATTCCTTGTCCGCTACTTATTGGGTTGAATGGTACTTGTCTGAAACATGTTAACAAATTTGAATATATAGGAATTATATCCTCGGAAGACTGGAAAATAGACTGGGAAATAGAAACAAGATACCAACGAACCAGTGCACGTATATACCAACTGACACCGTTATTACGACATCCAAACATGAGTGCCAAGAAACAGATTATAATCAGCAAATTCATACTAACACTGTGCTACCAGCTCCAGATTTGGACATAATCAAAGGCTAACCTACGTAAAATTACCACCTGTAAAGAGATACCCGAGAAAAACCGCCAACCTAACCATCTGAGACAGAGTTAGAAACGATATCATCAGACAGACTGTAGGAACAACACCATGCAGCAAATTCATTGAGAAACAGAAGATCGAATGGTTTGGTCATTTAGTAAGAATGTAGCCAGAACAACTGCCAACGCAGGCGTTACACGTGAAAAGATCTGAAGTGAAACAAGAGACCGCCCTAGGAGAACATGGACTGATGACATTAAAGAGCTTCTACATCGACATGCAATGACAATAGCCATTACCGCCATCTAAGCAATGGATCGTCAACTGCCCCTCCCTCCCCCCCCCCCTTTTTTTTTCTAAGGCTAAACGGCAGAAGTGGAAATTGTGGGTGATTATTATGACGATTATGCAATATAGTCAACAATTAAATACAAACTCGTTGAAAGTTCGGTGTTGAACAGTTTATACAAAGTTTAACACGCGTCAAAGGTAATAGTAATTGATATTTATGGTTAAAGGATGATTATTTCAGTAACAAGAACAGATCTAATCAAAGAGAAAATGGCATGCGGTGAGGATAGAATAAAGCCAGCCAGGTAAATAACACACCTGTAAATGCTTCCACTGCAGACTCTGAAACCTTGGCTGTCCTCATGGTGTCTGTCAATGTTCTGACACTCCATCCTTCATAAGCAAAGTCAGCTGTCA